GAGCCTCTCAATTTATTTGCGCAAAAATTTATATTTCCATTAAATACAGTATCAGATGTACTAAATTTTAACAAGGAAATTTTAACTAATAAAGAATATAGAATGTATTTGGTAAGTTTTTATTTTTATAATTCGTAGTGCGTTTTTTCCGCTCGTATGAAGTAGATTATATCATATCAATTATAATTGTAATTATATGTGTATTGTAAATAAAAATTACTGTTATTGGCTTTTAAATAAAATGACAGAAATAATAGTTTTAAATATATTTATGAATAATTAGCATTTATTATTGATAATTTTTTAAAAACATCTTATTTTCAGATTGACATATATAAGACAATTGGTGGAACAGAAGGAAACGAAGAGGGAAAGAACGTGGCAAAAATATAGTCGCTATTTTTTTTTCGAAATACGTTCTGACTCTCTTCTCCTGGACTGGTGTATCGAGAACTACTGGTATTGAGAAAAAAGAATGTTTTCAATTGTGTGACGGAATTTTGTCATTAATAAATGATTTAACTGCTATGGCTGATTCACGTTGGAATGTTTCGAAAAATGAAAAATTGTTCAAAAATCACGTTTTGAAACATGCCAAACAAATAAATGCAGCCGTTGAAAAGAAAAAAGAAAAAAATATCAATAATAACGTGCAATTAGTTGATACTATTTATAATAATGAGCCAGAAGTTAACAATAAAGAAGTAGAAGAAGTGGAAAAAGATGAAACTCATAATATTACTATGTAAACAAAATCAGTTTGTATATATTATATACAATATACTTTTTTTAAATACAATATATTCTACATGAATTATTACATGTAATTTTATGTATTTAGGGTATGTATTAACGGAAAAAAAAACAAACTCAGAGTAATATTGTATACAAAATAATTTACACTTTATATCGTTAAAAGAATATAATTTTGGAGCTTCTAAATCACATATATATTTATTTCCGTTTATAGTATTTATCTGCTTTCCTTTTGATGCGTATATATTAAGACGAGACGAAGCAAAAGGTTTGACAAAAAAGTCATATATATTTTGTAAACACGCACCGAATACATGAATTTTCTTTTTAAACACAGTAGCATTTATCATAGAAACGATATCATTATTTTTGGTCATAAAGTACTTATTTTTATCGTCATTTGATAAAATAAAATTCTTAGACAAATGCAGTGTCTTGTAAACACCTGAACACATTGACACTTCATGATTTTCGTGGATAATCTTATTTTTCAAAAAGATGCCAGAGTCATCCTCACGTTTCAAATTTAATTTCGATAACTCTAGAACTCTTCTGCTTATCTGACTTAGTGGCAAATTACCACTTCGAATTAAAGATTTTAAGTGTCCAAGGCAACTTTCAAATGGATAGGAACTTATTCCTGGGAGAGGCCCAAACTTTCTAATGTCATCAACTACATGACATAAATTATGTACGTTGCTACTAATGGAATCAATTCCATAAATGTCAATGAAGGTTTCGATATAATTATTTAATAATCGTTCAGCAATATCTAAATACTGCGAATAGTAATTACATGAAAGAATAGTGAGAACAGCGTTAAGTGTTAAAAAATGTTCGTATACGTCTGACGGCAAAAAATCTTTCAAAATTACTGGACCAAGATAGAGTCCAAATGTTCGGTACTCAGAACCTTTCCAGAATTTTAAGAATTTTAAAGTTCTTATTTGTCGATGAATATCATTTGGTTTAGTTGCATTACAAGTTTGTAGCATTTCTGATATTGAATCCGCTTGTGCTTTTGACCATTTCGTACGGAAATTGTAACTACCCTCGCGCCATCCGTATAAGCATCTGCGTGTAAGCCCTGCGCGGAATTGTATAATATTAAAATAGAAAATATACTAATATGTGAAGTCCTAATATCAAAATATACCTAAATCAAATAAATGGAGGGAATCTGCAATTACGAAATCTTCTACCATGTCAATATCTAACTCCGTTAGAGGAGTATCTTCTTTATGATGATCTTCATCTATTTTACTGCGAAAGCTCTCATTGGTTCTGCGAGGGCAATCAATTTTAGGATAACTCATATGCCTTCCTTTTTTATCCCAATCTCCTACTACAGTACATTTTATACAACTTCCATATTCAGCATTTGAACCAGGAGTGCCTATAATTTACCACATAATGCAATTGAAAATGTTTGAATTAAAGCATGTTTAAATTAAAGTAACTATGATGAAACATTTCAGAGCAGTTCCCTCAAGTTACGTTAAATAATTGTGTTAAAAATACAAATAAAACTTTGATTCTAATATTGTACATAATAAGAACTGATTTTTTTAATAAATATGTTTTACATCATCTAATAATATGAACATTCAATAATAAAATTCAGAATTTAAAAAAAAATAGAATCAATATTTAACAACTTAGTTCTTGTAATAAAATGTACCTTTAATAAAACTTCTAGCTTGCGTATCACAAACGAAGCATTCTATCTTGACATTTACTTCATGTCTACCGATTTGCAAGCCCTCTCTGCAAATTTCCTTCAATTCTTCAATAAATTGCTTAAAAAATAATTGGAGAGGCGGTTTGCTATCACCATAATAAATCGCTGCAACCATTGGTTGTATATGAGACATGTTTTTGATGATAAAAGAAATTGGCCAGAATTGATGCTGAGAACTATTAAACGGTGACATGCCGTCGATATTAAATACTAACGATATTGTCAGTGGTTGGGAAATATCACAAATCGAAAGAGTTGATAATAAATTTGATTTAATTCCATTATACCAAAATTTCCCTGTTCCCATTTCAATAATATCGGTGGATAAAGGAGTTTTTAATAGAGTTCTTGCATCTTTTGGTAGCTCTGTCATATCGTGCGATCTCAATATCTTTAATAAGCTAGTGACAGAAGCCAGAGTCAATTTGTGTGCAATCGCCCAATCTGACAGTTCATTTAACAATGACAATTTATCATTTATTAATTGCTCTTGATTAGTATCTGTATCATCTTGTTCAGGAATCGAGTCAAACTCTTCATCATTAACTAATACATTATAGTTATCATTTGCTGTTGATGGTTCTGTCGAATTTACTAACTGATCATTGTGAACGACACTGGCACTTGCATAACTTGTAATATTATCAATGTGTGCACTTTCACGTATACTCTCATTGTTATTGTTTTTATTTTTTCTTAATTTTCTATAATAACGTTAACCAATATGGTTTATACTTGGTTCGCTCTGACATTCTTTTTCTTATTTAATTGTTTATATAACTATACTACACACCTATATTATATATAAATCAGTCAAGAGTGTACTATGTGAAATAGAAGACTCAAAATTGACATACAGGATTATATGGACTTTTAGGGCAAGACTGGTTCAATTTACTTTGAAGTCAATTTTGTTGGTCATTTGGATCAAGTGTTGACTAAATTTACCTAATAGGTAACTTTCCTTGGTAATCTCGACTTCGAAGTTAGCAGTGACATCATTGAAATATCAACGAACGTCTTTAAGTCAATAATTACCTTATTTTGACAACTTGAAAGTCTATTCGACTTTGAAGGCATAAATACAGTTCGATACAGTTCGATATTAGGTAATTTATAACCTCAGAAACTTATTAATCATTACCAGATTCTGAGAGAATTTACTAGATCAAAATTAAGTAATTTTTTACCTATCAAGAACACTTTAAACGCAAATGGACTTTGAAAACATTAATACGTTGAAATTAGGTAATTTTTTACCTGCGAAGAAAACCTCAAATATAATATTACTTTTATGACATATTTTAGGTCGAAATTTAGTCATTATTGTCTTAATTAGGGCAATTTTGCTTTGGATTGGTCAGGATGCCCTGTTTTGCTGCTTGGGGAGGCTTTGGCCAATATATGTATATATATCGAAAGATATTAAAAATGTAAAAAAAAGCGTCAAGTATATTTTGCAGAAAAAAGATACCAAAGATAATGCCATAAAAAAAGAAGTGAAATCAAAATAATATTTCAAGTATCTCTATTTAAAAAATCCCATGGAACACAGTTCTCCGAGCATCATCTTGAAGACATCCTTATGATGTCGTTTAAGACAGTGTTGAATGAAATAATTTCTCACAATTATAATATACTACACAAAGTACAAATGACATTTGAAGTATAACAACACATTAATGAGAGAACGAAATGCAATAGATAGCGTAATGAGAGGCGCGGAAACTGAAAAGGGATTTTTACATCGATAATAAGTAGAAAATTGTAGAAATAAAAAATCGAAAATGAGTAATATTTCCAGCAGCAGCATACTTGACGGCCCCAGTCTTGTTCATAATTCGATTCATGCAAATAATTCAATAAATATTTTATTATAATTATAAACTATTTTTCGCAAATTAAAGAAATGTTATATATATCCAAATTATTATTTTAGTATTGATATATTTCATATTCAACAGGTGCACTTATAAATATTTTTCTATGAGATAAAGAAAAATTTTCAATACTTTTTAATACTAAATTTTTAACCCTTAAATTTTTTTATTGTAGTAATAGAATTTTAAATTTATTACAAGTAGTAGTATTAGCAGTTATTGTGTGTGTGTTCAACGTAATATTATTGTCTTTGATTATACTTGATTCTCATAAAAATAGAAATCTAAATATTATATTTCTTACTTAATAAAAATTTTTAGAAATAACACATGACTCATTTGCGGATTAGGGACTTTATTACCAAATAGATTTAAAAGCGAGTTATACGTGTGGAATTAGGACTTAATATTTTGAAAATACATTGTCTATGTGCTAATATCCTTTCCTAAATAGAATGAAGTAGAATGAATTATACTATAACATTAATTTTATTAAAATGTTTAAAATTTTATTAAATCGTAATTAATTTTAATTGTCATTGATATCTAC